CACCCACACCCACATCCCCACCCACCACCCACCCACACCCACACCCACACAGACCCACACACATGCACACACACACACACACACACATGCACCACACGCACACATATGCACACACACACACACATTAGCACAGACACACTTCCACACACACATAACACACTCGCACACCCCTATAGGCGCCCACACAGACACAAAAACATACACTACCACACACACACATCAACACAACAAGTGAACGCACACACTAACAGGGACATACACAGTCCCACAGACGTAAATGTTCGAGTCCGGTCGCGTGCGTGCCTGCACACTGACAGACGCACAGATCCACAGCTGTCTGGGGTGTCCTTTGAACTTCTCACACAGATTACCTTCGCAATGTACTCGCTTGGAGTCACAGATTTCCCCTCTTCCTAGAGTGCTCAATTCTTCCTCCCCCTTCGCCTGTTTTACTTCCTTGTTTCCTCATTTGAATGCATACAGAATTGCTCCCAGGAAATCTGTCATATCGTTTGTACACGATGGCCAGCAGATCGTCGTACGTACAATCGAAGTGAGATATTCAACTCCTACCTTGTCAATCATGATGGACAAAGCAGAAGTCCTTCCTGTCTCGTCCAACTGACATTCGCAAACACATACATGCACAGCCTTCTCGGGTATCTTCTGGATTTCTCACATATACTGGTTTCACGACGTCCTAGTTGGTACTGATGCACATTTCCTTCCTAGATTGCTCTTTTTCTTCCTCCCTTGTGGGCTTCTTCTATGTTGCCTCTTTTTCTTCCCCTCCCTTTGAAACGCAAACAGCATTGCCCCTGAGAAATCTGCCATATCACATGTACACTTCGATCTGCCGATTGCTATTCGATAGAACTGCGTTATTCAGCTCCTACCTTGTCAACCATCATGCAGAAAGCAGACTTCCTTCCCCTCTCCTGAAATTCACATTCCAAGCAAACTCTTTGCCACGCCTTCCAGAGATGGAAGCAACCATTCGAAGGGGTGGGACTGTGGATGATAGGATGGGAGAATTAGCTCCTAAGCTCTTTGCCGAATCACACCCAAGTGTGTGCCCAGCCCGATCGGTTACCGTCACTTCTTTCACCCAGCAGGCCTGGGTTCAAACCCTCAGAATTTATAAACTCGAGAATCACACCCATCTGGAGCTCTTGGCAAACATAAGCACAATATGCGTTCTAGGAGTGCTGACTGACCCGATCTCTAGCGACGAGGAAAAACAGCGACAATCACGAATGTGTGAGTTAAGAAGAGATCAGGGAGTGTACCTCTTCAGACCTGCTGGAGGCAAAAAGATCCGCAATATGGCTTCTCGGCTGGTCCTGCATCGGACCAAGATCTCCTGCTCTGAGAATACCTGCAAGCCAATCATTCAATACAAACCTCTTCTAACTTTGAAGAGTTGCCAGATGCCCTACACCGCCCTGCTCTGTGGCTGATCAGCAGAGAGAGCGTCATCTTCATAGCATAGCGCGGCACTTCTGCTGCTCTCCGTATTGGCCTGGAGAAAGGACTAGCATCCTGAGCCAGCACCCTTGTCATCGTAAGCAATTACAGTGCCCGTGAGTGAATGAACTAGGCTTGTGAAGATGCTAATGACGGCGGCTCCCATAAACGCAGAACACCATTTCTGCCCCCACTCATAATCCTCCCACTCTCAACATCACAAGCGACACAGCGAACCTGCGCATGTTCGTGCCAAAAGAACGCAAAGTTCACAAACATGATACCTCTTTGTAAGCCTAACTAAACCATCAAATATGATTAAACGGAACTCGATCCATCAAATCGCACATCTAGAGTGCAACGCTGTGAGGGTTGGTGCGGAGCACAAAGATATAGGGGCATCTCACCACCAGCAGCAGCAGCAGCAGCACCAACACCACCACCACAAAGACAGCAGTAGCAAAAGAAACCATCACCAATAAAGCAACCGCAAGCATACGGCCGACAGGAAAGAAGACCATCCCATTGACAACAACAACAATGATGATGATGATGATGATGATGATGATGATGACAATGACAAAAGCCATATTCACCAATGCCTTGATGATAATGCTGTCAAGGGCACCTATAGGACAGTCAGCACAAAACTGAGAGAAATAACAATTGGCAACCGTGCTGCTGCTACTGATGTTGATGATGATGACGACAATGATCACACGAAAAAATATGACGACAGCATTCATAGTGACATGCACAAAAGATTGGCCAGCAGCAACAAGCAGCACATCGAGGCAGTTGGTGAAGCAGCCACTGTGGGAGAAACAACCACAAGCATCAGAATTATGCTTGCCATGCCCGCAACCACGACAACAATGACCAAAATGGCGATAACAACGGCTTCGCAAAAACAAAGGACAATGTGTGTGTGTGTGTGTGTGTGTGTGTGTGTGTGTGTGTGTGTGTGTGTGTGTGTGTGAGAGAGAGAGAGAGAGAGAGAGAGAGAGAGAGAGAGAGAGA